ATCAGACCATTATCAGACATTTATGCGTTCGATATCTTTCATATAAGGATAATCGTTGCTTTAGATGGAGTGGCTTATCAGATATGGAGGGAATGCTGAGAAAGTTCCTGATTATGATTGCGGGTATGCAAACTCTGCTTATAACTTCAAACGAAAGTTACAGTAGGAAGTATGATATAGAGTCTGAAACAAGCGCTAAACGCCCGTACTTGCTTTGCTTCTTTTAGAAGTTAGCAAGGTTCTTAGCCATCAGCAGCGATCTAATATGTCCAACTATTACACTTATTTAAAGCTAATGCACAATTATATTCCTTTAGACCTGAAGATAAGAGACCCGGACGTAAAGACTACGCCCTGGGTACATTATTCATTACGTATGGAATTACAGCTGTGGTAAGTAATTCTTCTTAATTCTCTTGAATGGATTTGCTCATTCGGAAACTGTTTGCAGATTATTTACATACTAGACTTGATGGTTATGGTAAGGAAACAACATCGCTCTCTTTCCTGCTACAAAATTATGATAGCGCTAGGTTTGCTAGCCTATCAAACATTTTCTCAGCTGAAAATATTCTGCCCCTTCAGGAATATGCGACATGGCAGCGTTGTCACTGAATTCCTTATTGACCGGATATTTTTGGATCATAGGTGCTAATTATTGCACACACCCTACGTTAATGTTTATTACTGGCTCGCTTGCACTTGGTAAGTAAGAGGTTATAAGATTCATACAGAACTGAGAACTTATACCAGATAAATGAGTTTATTTACAATCACAAAACACTCATAGGGTTATGGTGTGGCGCATGTATGATTTGCTTTGTTTTGGTGATCAATCGTCTGCTGGATATATGGAATAGAGAACTGATGCAAAAGGCACGTTTTTTTCCTTAATTTCTAGACTCTGCATTCTTATCAAAAAGGGATATATAAATCATTTGCAAACATTTGTTTATCAAAGAATGGGAGGGGTTAAAAATACCCAGTAAGCTTACCCTTTGTCTACTTTTCTCCACTATCACCATATGCAAATCGGCAAATGTTTCACGAAA